GCCCTGACATGAGAAATCAAACTTGCCTTGATCTTATGGCATATAAATGGTTAAAACATCTTGATTAAAACATCCTCCTCATTATAAACAAAGCATTTCTTTAATCAAGCTCCAAAAACAGCTCGTTTTGAAATTGCGGGATCTGTGACATCACACATTTGCATATGCCCGCCTCCAGAGCGAGACATCGACCAATAGTTCCACCTCATCACACCATAGGCTCCGCCCACTGGCGTTCAGTCTCTGAAATGAAAGAGTGGAAGAACGTGTGTCCAGTAGGGATGGGCGATATGGACTTAAAAATATATCACGATATTTTCTGGCATTTATTGCGATAACGATATCAATGACGATATAAATACAATACCATATTCACCACTGTTTTTGGCTACAAGTGATAGCTGCATGCAAAGCAAAATGTACCCTTCACCAAATAGACTTAAAATAATAATAAAAAAACAGTAAAACAGTAAACATTCCTTGCAGAAATGGAAAAGTTGCATACGTTTCTTCTGTAAAAGTGCAGATAATGTTTAAATAGTGCAACTATACTGAAAAACATCACACAGTAATAATTCAAATCATTTACAAGTTTGAAATATAAAAAATCTAACAACGAATTTATACTAATACTATTACAAATTCTGATACTAATAACAATATAAACCACACTAAGGATTGATGAGCTGCTGGGTTCATGAATATCATCACGTCTGCGTTTGCGCATTAGTTTCTGCTTGCTCAAAGCTGAATAATTCCAAATGAACTCCATTATTTTTACAGGAAAATACAACAAATAATATAATTTACATGTAGACGTCATGTACACTTCAATTCTGCGTGGTATGTAAGACTCTCTCTCTCTCATCGAGTGCGTGAGAAACACGCTCTCAACAGTGACAGCACGTCATGCGCCTCAGTGTTTACTGCGCGTCAAATACACTGTGTATTCATTGAGATGAACTGATATAGTGGGCTTTACGGATCACTTGACGGAGAGCGACACTCTCAAGCGCTCAGTCAGTGTTCGGCGAGATGGGCGGATGAAAATCTGTGTGTACCAGTTCCAGATTGTAGAGGTAGTTACTCGTTTAGCGATAAACTTCACCTCAGCTTCACGTCCGCCTTCCGCCATGCGCGTGAGCTGCGAATGCGTCCCGTCATAGGCTTTATCGTTATTATCGCGGGAAGACTAATTCTTATCGTGAGGAAAAATTTTAACGATATATCGCAAACGATAATATATCGCCCATCCCTAGTGTCCAGTTTAAACGGCTGGTTTGAGTTTCTGTCGAGGCTTCGGGAGATCCAGCGTCAGGAACAAGCGGATGCTTTATTTTAACGGCGTCCCGGATGGCGTCGCAGGATTATGTGTGTGTTCGGAGCGTTTGACTGAGACACAGTGTAATGGAGAGTTCACAGAGAAACTTCTGTTGACAGATGAAGCAGAGACTGTATTAATCTGACAGAATCTGCGTCATAAACCCTCAGTAAATGATTCATAATGCTGTAAATGATGGTTTTATATGGATCATGTTTTCAATAGCGAGTGTGTGTTGATACTGTTTCCTATTGTTAATTCATATGCCATCTCTTCTGTTACTAGGAAAGAGTAAACTCTGTTTTAATGATCACTTCATTGTTAATCACAAGGTTCTAACCGAGTCATCCGTCTAGTTTCATTTCCCATGTTATTTATACACTCAACAGGGGTTTGGCAACATAGGCCTACAACATTCAAAAGCACAGAACAGAACCTTTTAGTACATGGTGTTTCAAAGTGTTAGAAACATGGTTAGTTTAATATACAGTTTAAAAATCTATCACACTATAAGCAGTGACGTCGTTAGCCAATCATAACAGTGGGCGTTTACTGAAGCCTTAAAGGGGCCGCGCATAAAAAACGGATCATTTCAGACAGGGTTGAAAAAAACTAATCGTTTTTCAGCATGTTATTCGTTTTTTTGTGCAACTTTAGTAACATTATTAGTGAACCTAATGGAACATATTGAAATCATTAAAAAAAAAAATCCATCTCATGACGCTTTTAAGTGCATTGCACCTGGATGTTTGCTGCAGGACGAGGCACACAATGATCTTTTAAACTTATTATTAGAGGTTTGTAAGGGGATTCTTGACTTTGCAAACACCATTAATGAACATTTAGGCAATCAGTCAAGTGGAGCAGTCTTAAAGCTCAATCTCACCCCTTACTAGCAAACACACAAGACTAATTAAGCAAAACCATTAGGGTAATGTCTCAAACACAGATGTTTAGTCTTTCAGCAGGAAGGATGTCTAAATGGGTTCAAATTACAGTGAATAATACGTAAATATACAACGTATACGTGCAAAGCCGTTTTGGAAAAAAAGAGTCATAAATGTAAAAATTACGTATCAATACATCTACATTTGATTCATCTGACTTTCATCCTGGTTGTGAATTACCAAGCAAATAATCTCACATTCTTATATTATAAAAGCATAATTTACATTAACGCCTCTTCAATAATCAGAAGAATTACCCAAGGGATCTCAAAAATGCCTTTGATGGCTAAACAACCCCATTCCTGACTGACATATAGATCAATCCAAACCATCTTTTCTTCATTTATTAACACACTATACAACCCCTCGCTAAAAGAGCGAAAACTAAACAGCAACTACAATACTGATGAAACGACAAAACGAAACCCATGACATTCTCACTCAGAGATCCAAACGGCCTCCAACACAATCATGCGGAGGTCCATTAGAATTAAAACTACGTCATATTAATGAGATGGAAAGTCAAAAGTAAACATACTAAGTCGTATTGATGATGAAGTGTCAAAAAGATGGCATACTAAGTCATATTAATGATATGAAAAGTCAAAAATGTGGCATACTAAGTCATATTAATGATATGAAAAGTAAAAAATGTGGCATACTAAGTCATATTAATGATATGAAAAGTGAAAAATACGGCATACTAAGTCATTAATGATATGAAAAGTAAAAAATGTGGCATACTAAGTCATATTAATGATATGAAAAGTAAAAAATGTGGCATACTAAGTCATATTAATGATATGAGAAGTCAAAAAGATGGCATACTAAGTCATATTAATGATATGAGAAGTCAAAAAGATGGCATACTAAGTCATATTAATGATATGAGAAGTCAAAAATATGGCATACTAAGTCATTAATGAGATGAAAAGTAAAAAATATGACATACTAAGTCAGTCATATTAATGATATGAAAAGTAAAAAATGTGGCATTCTAAGTCATTAATGAAATTAAGTCATAATATGGCATACTAAGTAATAATTATGAGATGAAAAGTCAAAATTATTACTTAAAAAGGCAATTGACAAAAAGACGTAATTATGACATAAAAAGTCATAATTTTGACTTTTAAACCAATTACATTCTCACTCAGTTGATGAAAAATAGCCATAAACAAAATTCCTGGATTCACATCAAAGAAGATTAAATGATCTGTTTCAAATGCATTAGCAACTACCTAGCAACCCATAACAACACATTGAAAATTACCTAGCAACCCCTAACAACACATTGAAAACTACCTAGCAACCCCTAACAACACATTGAAAACTACCTAGCAACCCCTTAGAACACATTGAAAACAACCTAGCAACCCCTAACAACACATTGAAAATTACCTAGCAACCCCTAACAACACATTGAAAACTAGCTAGCAACCCCTAACAACACATTGAAAATTACCTAACAACACATTGAAAATTACCTAGCAACCCCTAACAACACATTGAAAATTACCTAGCAACCCAACTAGCTAGCAACCCCTAACAACACATTGAAAATTACCTAGCAACCCCTAACAACACATTGAAAATTACCTAGCAACCCCTAACAACACATTGAAAATTACCTAACAACACATTGAAAATTACCTAGCAACCCCTAACAACACATTGAAAATTACCTAGCAACCCCTAACAACACATTGAAAATTACCTAGCAACCCCTAACAACACATTGAAAACTACCTAGCAACGCCTTAGAACACATTGAAAACAACCTAGCAACCCCTAACAACACATTGAAAATTACCTAGCAACCCCTAACAACACATTGAAAACTAGCTAGCAACCCCTAACAACACATTGAAAATTACCTAACAACACATTGAAAATTACCTAACAACACATTGAAAATTACCTAGCAACCCCTAACAACACATTGAAAATTACCTAGCAACCCCTAACAACACATTGAAAATTACCTAGCAACCCCTAACAACACATTGAAAATGACCTAACAACACATTGAAAATTACCTAACAACACATTGAAAACTACCTAGCAACCCATTGCAACACCTTTGCATCCAATTCATATAACTGTTTTCATATTACAAACAAATATCTCTATTTAACAGCATAACTGGTTTAATTTTTGCAACAACAACAAAAAAAAATCCTGTAGCTTTAACTAAAGGAAACAAAATGCATTTTAACAAATGAATGATACAACTTAGATACAACTTGAAAAGTTGGATACACATGCATGCAACAGATGAAACTCGCTGTGTTTAGTGATGCTGAGGAATTAAATCTTTCAATGGCAATCAATTGTTCGCTTGATGATAATATGCATGAGGACAATATATTGATTCACTATATTTGGTTTAAACAAATAAGCCAGTCGATCTCTGCATAAGTTGCTCATGCTTTTATGGCAGTAAGTTGCACAACATGCATGAACAGTTTTCACAAAACTTCAGCCAGTTCATGCATTTAACTCAATAACTGCTTACTAAAGGAGAACGCTCAGGAATGACCCTTGACCTCAAGCCAAAGGAAAACTAAAACTTGACACATTGTAGTTGAAAATGCACAACAAAACGACATGAAAACAAACCATGCGCGTTCTAATATAGATTAACGACACGAATCAAATCACTCTCGGGCGCGCGCCTGAATCAAGTGCATGAACCCCATGTTACAGATATCGTGTTCTCTGATCCGTACCTCGTTCCTCCTGCTCTCGGCCCCGGGTCTCGTGATGAGCGCCGTGTCTCCGCACACCACCGCCGCGTCCTCCACGAACACGCAGTCCGGCAACGCCTCGTCCGCGGGCAGCTCCAGCACCTCCAGCCCGAGCCGCTGCTTCAGGACCGACACGTACAGCTCGTGCTCCTGCTGGGCTCTCGGCAGGTCCAGCTCGCCCAGACTCCCGGTGCGGAGCGCTTCTGTGGCCAGAGACCGAGGGACCGCGCGGACCACGGCGTGCGTAAAGCGCCCGAACGCGGACATCATTACAGGCTCACCGGGGCTCAACTTTCCGGATGCGAGATGCGCGCGTGTGTGTGTGTGTGTGTGTGTGTGTTGGTTTTTTAGGTGTTGTTTGTTGTGTTGTTGCCTGTTGTGGTTCACACACATACACACACAGACTGCTCGAGCTCTGAAAGGGCGAGAACAAACAGCGCGCTGATGACGTCACCGACGCTCCCGAAGGGCCGCGAACCAATAAAAACTATAGACTGAAAGACTCTAGTATTGTTGTATTATGTTATGACAATGATAATTGTTTTACATGTTTTTTCCTCTCGTTTCTTTAAATAAATAAAAATTAATAATAAAAAAAACTGCATAATATAGGCGGAGGGTGAACAACAACTCTAGGCTAGATGCGATTCCGCCTTAAAAACACATTTTAAAGGAGGAGTTCACGTCTGAATTAAACATTTCTAATGATTTATCACGTCATCCAAGATGTTCATGTGTTTCTTTCTTCAGTCGAAAAAAGAAATGAAGGTTTTTGAGGAAATCATTCCAGGATTTTCCTCCATATAGTGCCTTCAATGGGGTCCAACGGGTCGAAGGTCCAAATTAGATTATTAAATAAGTTAGAAGTGTTTTTTCATGTTTTTTTCTAGGAAAATATTAAATTTTTCTCCATATAGTGACTTCAACGGGTCGAAGGTCCAGATGTGAGTTTCAGTCCAGCTTCAAAGTCTCGACACGATCCAGCCGAGGAATAAGAGTCTTATCTAGACAAACCAGCGGACATTTATAACAAATATTTATACTTTTTAACCACAAATGCTGGTCTTGCACGTCCACGACTTCACGCATTACGTAATCACGTTGAAAGGTCACGCGGTACCAAGTTCGCTTTGTAAACACTATAAGGTACGCAAATCTGACTTTATTTCTTGCAATTCTGACTTTATTTCTTGCAATTCTGACTTTATTTCTCGCAAATCTGACTTTATTTCTTGCAATTCTGACTTTATTTCTTGCAAATCTGACTTTATTTCTCGCAATTCTGACTTTATTTCTCGCAAATCTGACTTTATTTCTTCCAATTCGAACTTTATTTCTCGCAATTCGGACTTTATTTCTTGCAATTCGGACTTTATTTCTTGCAATTCTGACTTTATTTCTTGCAATTCTGACTTTATTTCCTCGCAATTCTGACTTTATTTCTTGCAATTCTGACTTTATTTCTCGCAAATCTGACTTTTTTTTCTTGCAATTTGGACTTTATTTCTCGCAATTCTGACTTTATTTCTTGCAATTCTGACTTTATTTCTCACAATTCTGACTTTATTTCTTGCAAATCTGACTTTATTTCTCGCAATTCTGACTTTATTTCTTGCAATTCTGACTTTATTTCTTGCAATTCTGACTTTATTTCTTGCAATTCTGACTTTATTTTCTCGCAATTCTGAATTTATTTTCTCGCAATTCTGACTTTATTTCTTGTAATTCTGACTTTATTTCTCGCAAATCTGACTTTTATTTCTTGCAATTCTGACTTTATTTCTCGCAAATCTGACTTTATTTCCTCGCAATTCTGAGTTTATTTCTCGCAATTCTGACTTTTTTTTCTTGCAATTCTGACTTTATTTCTCGCAATTCTGACTTTATTTCCTCGCAATTCTGACTTTATTTCTCGCAATTCTGACTTTTTTTTGCAATTCTGACTTTTTTTTTCGCAATTCTGACTTTATTTCCTCGCAATTCTGACGATATTTCTCGCAAATCTGACTTTATTTCTCGCAATTCTGACTTTATTATTGCAATTCTGACTTTATTTCTTGCAAATCTGACTTTATTTCTCGCAATTCGGACTTTATTTCTTGCAATTCTGACTTTAATTCTCGCAATTTTGAGTTTATTTCTTGCAAATCTGACTTTATTTCTCGCAATTCTGACTTTATTATTGCAATTCTGACTTTATTTCTTGCAAATCTGACTTTATTTCTCGCAATTCGGACTTTATTTCTTGCAATTCTGACTTTAATTCTCGCAATTCTGACTTTATTTCTCGCAATTCGGACTTTATTTCTCGCAATTTGGACTTTATTTTACGCAAATCTGACTTTATTTCTCGCAATTCTGACTTTATTTCTTGCAATTCTGACTTTATTTCTTGCAATTCTGACTTTATTTCTCGCAATTCTGACTTTATTTCTCGCAATTCTGACTTTATTTCTCACAAATCTGACTTTATTTCTCGCAATTCTGACTTTATTTCTTGCAATTCTGACTTTATTTCTCGCAATTCTGACTTTATTTCTCGCAATTCTGACTTTATTTCCTCGCAATTCTGACTTTATTTCTCGCAATTCTGACTTTATTTCCTGCAATTCGGACTTTATTTCTCGCAATTTGGACTTTATTTTACGCAAATCTGACTTTATTTCTTGCAATTCTGACTTTATTTCTCGCAATTCGGACTTTATTTCTCGCAATTTGGACTTTATTTTACGCAAATCTGACTTCATTTCTCGCAATTCTGACTTTATTTCTTGCAATTCTGACTTTATTTCTTGCAATTCTGACTTTATTTCTTGCAATTCTGACTTTATTTCTTGCAATTCTGACTTAATTTCCTTGCAATTCTGACTTTATTTCTCGCAATTCTGACTTTATTTCCTCGCAATTCTGACTTTATTTCTTGCAATTCTGACTTAATTTCTCGCAATTCTGACTTTATTTCCTCGCAATTCTGACTTTATTTCTCGCAATTCTGACTTTATTTCTTGCAATTCTGACTTTAATTCCTCGCAATTCTGACTTTATTTCTCGCAATTCTGACTTAATTTCCTTGCAATTCTGACTTTATTTCTCGCAATTCTGACTTTATTTCCTCGCAATTCTGACTTTATTTCTTGCAATTCTGACTTAATTTCTCGCAATTCTGACTTTATTTCCTCGCAATTCTGACTTTATTTCTCGCAATTCTGACTTTATTTCTTGCAATTCTGACTTTAATTCCTCGCAATTCTGACTTTATTTCTCGCAATTCTGACTTTATTTCTTGCAATTCTGACTTTAATTCCTCGCAATTCTGACTTTATTTCTCGCAATTCTGACTTTATTTCTTGCAATTCTGACTTTATTTCTTGCAATTCTGACTTTATTTTTCGCAATTCTGATTTTATTTCCTCGCAATTCTGACTTTATTTCTCGCAATTCTGACTTTATTTCTTGCAATTATGACTTTATTTCTCGCAATTCTGACTTTATTTATCGCAATTCTGACTTTACTTCTTGCAATTCTGACTTTATAACTCACAATTCTGACTTTATTTCTTGCAATTTATTTCTAGTTTTGAGAATTGCAAGAATTTCTTGCAATTGTGAGTTTATATCTTACAATTCTGAGAAAAAAAAAGTCTGAATTGCTAGAGAAAAAGTCGCAATTAACTTTTAAATGATAATAGTCTTCCATAGTAGTAGAAGTAGTTAATAACATTCTGAATACATGCTGTTATTAATGCCATAATTATGCATGGTGTTTTGTGAGCTAAATAGTCTCCCTTTTTTTCATGTTTGTTTCGTGTTATGTCTAATTATTAAGATTCACATCTCTCACTTGATTTTAAAAGTCAAGTAATTATCCAAACAATAAAAAATTGGTCTGGCATTGTTGAACTAACAGCACTTTTTAATTTATTGTGATTCATGATGATTTTCGTCCAGTGTTGAATACAGTAGTTATTAAAACCCAGAAGAGAATGAGGATCTTCGGTGCGTTCCCTAGAAAATATCCTGGTTTTTATATAGTCGTGGTTTTAGATTTACAAGTATAATAAACTCTGGTCCAAAGTATTACAGTCAGAGCTCAAACATGAAACTCAAACCCATCGTGTGTGTTTTAAAAACATAAGTGGCTATATAAGGACTACAACTACCAGCTCTATTGCATTCATTTATATCACTTTCGTATTAATATATAATTATTAGGGCTGTAACAATATATCGTGTCACAATATATCGCAATACAAAAATGCATCAATATGTATCGTGGATAGTTCACCCAAAATAAAAATTACTGTGTGAATTTTATTTTTTCAGAGTTTTAGTGTCAGAACTACATTAAACTCCTGTATATAATGTTGAATATAATGTATAATAATGCAGTGGGGGAATATTTATGGCTCCTGATGTCTGATGTAAAAACTGACCGCAGTATAGGTGTGTGTGTGTAGAATGAGTGTAATCTGGACGTACTATATTCGCCATGATGTCATTATCATGTGTGTGTCTGTTTGTGTGTGAGTGTGCGTGTGTGTGTGTGTGTGTGTGTGTGTGTGTCTGTGTGTGAGTGTCTGTGTGTGTTTATTTGTGTGTGTGTGTGTTTGTGTGTTTGTCTGTCTCTTTGTGAGTGTGTGTGTATATCTTTGTGAGTGTGTGTGTGTGTCTGTGAGAGAGTGTGTGTGAGTGTGTGTCTCTTTGTGAGCGCGTGTGTGTGTGTGTCTCTCTGTGTTTGTGTGTGTGTCTGTTTGTGAGTATGTGTTTGTGTGTGTCTCTTTGTGAGCGTGTGTGTGAGTGTGTGTGTGTGTGTCTCTTTGTGAGTATGTGTTTGTGTGTGTCTCTTTGTGAGTGTGTGTGTGTAAGTGTGTGTCTCTGTGAGTATGTGATTGTGTGTGTCTCTTTGTGAGTGTGTGTGTGTGTGTGTGTAAGTGTGTGTCTCTTTGTGAGTATGTGTTTGTGTGTGTGTCTCTTTGTGTGTGTGTGTGTGTGTTTGTGTGTGTGTCTCTTTGTGAGGATGTGTTTGTGTGTGTGTCTCTTTGTGTGTGTGTGTGTGTGTGTGTTTGTGTGTGTGTCTCTTTGTGAGTATGTGTTTGTGTGTGTCTCTTTGTGTGTGAGTGTGTGTGTGTGTGTGTGTCTCTTTGTGTGTGTGTAAGTGTCTCTGTGAGTGTGTTTGTGTGTGTCTCTTTGTGAGTGGGTGTGTGTGTGTGTGTGTGTGTGTGTGTGTAAGTGTGTGTCTCTTTGTGAGTGTGTGTGTGTGTGTGTGTAAGTGTGTGTCTCTGTGAGTATGTGTTTGTGTGTGTCTCTTTGTGAGTGTGTG